GCAGTCCAAGGACAGCACCATCCTCCACAGCTGAGTTGGCACCCTGTGCAAGGTAAGGCAGCATGGGGTGGCATGCATCACCGCTTGCAAGCGTTAGTGAGGGTCGATATCTCAGATCTCAAAAGGGCACTCACACAAACACAAAGTTTGACTTCTCGTTGACCCAAGAAATCATTTCCTCCCCTGGAAACATGTTAGCTCATACTATGATGGGTCTGAACACGAAAACTTACTGTGCATCAGCTTCCACTTCTCAACACTGTCGACCGAGCTGAGGAATTTCTTCAATATCGGGTCCCACTCATCGAACCGGCTTTGCATCTCTTCAATTGATCCTGCTTGACGGCTCACACCCTTGGGAAGATCATCGGGTGTAAGCAACACCAGGTTGTACATCTTCTCCGCTCTCATCGAGTACCCAACGCAGTGAGCACCGGGACCGACCCAGAAGTGGACCTGAGGCTTCTGAATCCACTCTCTCAGCTCCGGATCCGTGACCTCATCAAGGTTGAGAACCACACGGTAGGCAAGGTCACCCGTTGCCAGGGGAGGATCGTCCTTCTTCAGGTAGCACGCACGCGACCGCGACCAGAGTCCATCGGCGGCGACGATGAGATCTGCCTTGGCCTTGATTCCAGACTGTGTCGTAAGCTCAGGAATGTCGAAGTCGATGTTCTCGACCTTCTCGCCGAGGTTAAATGTAACGCCGAGTTCCTTGGCGCGCTCATAAAGTGACAGCTGCAGGTCGACGCGGTGCAAGTCGATGAATGGTGCCTGATACTTTGCGCGAATATTCTTGTTGAAGTTCTCCTCCAACGCGAGCACTTTTCCAGAGTAGCGATGCACCACCAGATCCGTCGGCTCAGATGCCGATTTCCACAGTCTGTCTGGCAGACCCCATTTCTGCAGAATGCGCGTGGAGTTGGGCGTTACTTGCAGGCCCGCACCGACCTGGGGAATAATGTCAATAAACCTCATTTGGGGCCCTCGAACTTTGAGATGGGGCTCACCTCGAGGAGCTCCTTCGCGGACTCAAACACGGTGACCTTGTGTCCCGACAAAGCGGCTGCCACTGCGGTGGCTAAACCACTCAGCCCGGCGCCGACAACAATAATTTCCAGTTGGACTGGTGATCTGATATGCGCTGTGACCTTCGTATTCATCGTCAGCATTGACGCGCGGAAAACCCGTCTTCATGGAATGAGAACTCACCGCCATGTTTCCGTTGCTGTTGGGTGAAGATGCGTTTGCCCTGGGCGAAAACCAAGAGTTGAGCCAACGGAACATTTCAAAATTGCTTGGCGATGAGCTGCAGGTCGGTAAAGATGCAGAACCAAGATCTGAAAAAACACGTCGCGATGGCAGGAATCCCTTACCCTCAAATCCTCAAATCTTCAAGAGGTGGTTGCAGCTGGGTTCAGCAGTTCAACCCATGTTCTTTACTTTCGCGGACATAGGGGCGCCGGCAAGTCCCTAATGCAATCCCCGGAGATCCCCCACACAAGCCGGAAGCACGGGATGCGTCCCATGGGGAACAACTAATTGCTAGTAATTAGGTGGACGCCAGTGGCTGAAGGCGGTGGTCACAGGTGGACAGAAGTCTCGGGATATCCGAGGATCCACGGGTTATCCGCCAAAGTTGTGTCCCCAACAGCGCCAGTTCGACGACGAAGGTAAAGGTTACGGGAGAATAACCCAAAAAGGCTTTAGATTGGTGGGACTGGACAGATGGAGGCGAAATCGGCAAAGCCGGCATGAGAGCCAAACTGTCTCCAACTCTGGCACAGAAGCGATCGAACAGTCAGCTTCCAGACCATTTTGTGGGTTGACTTTCGGGTGCGACTTCGGCGGAGCTCAAGCCGCTATCTGCCGGATATATGGGAGTTGTCAGCGGCCATCGGGAGAAAGGTGCGGCACATCATCGTGGACCAACATCACGCACGTACTTACGCGGCTCATTCTACCGGAAGACAGCCCAAACTATACTCCTTGCTCAATCATCTCACAACAAGCCATTGCGATCAACCATCACAATCTTCAACGTCATCACTTGCCTTGTTCCATCACCCCTCATTCTCACAACAACCCCGCACCATGGCGCCCAAGGGTCCTTTCAAGCTTGTCACGGTCAACACCGCACCTGAACGGGCGAAGAGACTTATCGGCCGCATGACTGAGGCGCTCAAGGATCAGTACACGATTGACTATGTCGCCAACTGCGAGAGTAAGTTAAATAACTCATCCATAATGCAAATCTCGTAAGCTGACGGTATCGACAGCAATCGCCGAGGTCGAGGGCAAGGTGAAAGAGCACAAGCCAGACGTCTTGGTATGAGTGACCCCAGCCAACTGAAGCTTCTTCAACTAATCAACCTGCGCAGTTCTGTGCATCAATGTGGACGGCGGAGGAGGCAGAGCAGATCCAGGCAACCGCAAGGTCAATTGTTCCTAACATCAAGACCCACGCGATTCCTCATGGGCTGCAAGTTGAGAGGGGGCCGGATGCTATTGTTGAGCACCTCCTTGAGAAGGTTCCCCAATTGCTCGAGAGCTAGTTCACCCACAACATCGAACATAGAATGAATCAAATACAAAATTCTTATGAAGTTCTGATGTCCACTACCATGATCGGGTATTCATCGCAGTGAACCTTCCTAATGAGTGATGTTGTGCATCGGGGTTCAAATTTGAAGAGTTCATCGTAGAATCTAAGGAAGGACTGTTTCACACGAGTACCAGATGGAGCAACTTTCGCTAAGGTAGGTGATTAAAATGCAATTCATCCTAAGGAAATTTGAATTGTCTGGGGGGATAGAAACAAACAATGCACATAGTCATCCGGGATTCAGGGAGCGTGAAGTGCCAACAACGGTAAGAACTTGGAATCTTGCAAGAGAGTCATGTTGGGAATTCATGTATCATTTAGTCTAACCCAGATAAGCAGCTCATCACTTGTATCCTTTCACTCATTGATTTCGCCAAGTCTTCGTGCACCTCAATTCGTTTCATATCGCCTTGTCCTACACGTGCTCTCGCATCTACTGTCCAACCTCATTCTGGAAGGTGTTGACCAACGTGCCGATATGGGGAAGAATCTCAACGTGGAACTCGTCAGCGTCCTTCAGGGTGACCTTCGGTGTCCGGCCCAGGCCAACTCCAGCAGGAGTTCCGGTAATGATTACTGTTCCAGCGGGTAGGGTTGTGCTTTGAGACAGGAAGCTGATGAGCTTCGGGATGCTGAAGATGAGGTCGCTGCAAGGCCTGTCAGTATTGATGAAGGTTATGAGAGCAAGTGAACTTACTCAATGGGAGAGTCCTGGAGAACTTCGCCGTTCTTCAAGCCACGCATCTTCAACTTGGTTGGGTCAGGAATAAGATCCTTGGAAACCAAGGTAGGGCCTGTTGGAAAACATCTGGTTAGTTTCATGATCCCCTCTTCCCAAATACCCTAGGATAACTCACCCAATGGACAGGATCCATCGAATCCCTTAGCGAAGCACCATTGCGACTGGTTCAGTTGGTACGTCCGGGAAGAGACGTCGTTGCAGGCAGTATAACCCAAGACATAGTCCAGAGCGTTGGCCTCGGATACGTTCTTAGCGGTCTTGCCCAACACGACGGCGAGCTCAGACTCGTAGTCGCCGCAGTCGTCAGCCTGGGTAAGCAAAGGGAGTACTGTAGGCGCGGGCCATGGGTCTCCTAGTGCAGTGCTTGGCTTCCTGTACAATGAGTTAGCACTGATTCTCCAGCGGTTTGCACCGACCCGGGCGATCTTACAAGAACACAGTCGGGACCGTAGGCAGTGCCAGACCAGTCTCCTTTGCGTGTTGGACATACTGTTTGTGGTTAGCTTCATGTCTCTGGCCAGAGTAGTAGAGAAACATCATTGGCTACTCACGTTCAAGCCGATGCATCGGATCGTTCCGACCTCCTCGGCAGAGACGGGTGAGAGGACGCGGTCAATGACGGCCCGCTCCTCGGTCTTGGAACCCGGCTTGATGACGCTGGATCCGGACCACACCACAACCTTCACTTCCTCGCCCTTGCGCACAGCGAGACCAACATCAACAGACTCTGATTCAGGCTCACCAATGAGGATCTTGTTGGAATCAGAGCGGGGGACAAACCGCACGAAGCCTTGAGTTTGTCAGCGGCGGCGTTCTAGTGTTAACATCCATTCGTGCAAGATGAACAACTTACGGGTGAAGGGCGTTTGTGTTTGTGAAGCCATGGTGTATTTGTTGTCTGGTGCGTTCCTCAAAGTCAGATGTGCAGTGGTATCGTAAGATTCGAAGCTCAAGTCAGACTTGGAGTGGCAGTTCGGATGATATTCACCAGCAGGAGGGTAGAAGTAAGGGCCGTTCCCGCATCGTGAAATCCGACTGGAGAAAGCCCGCTATCCCTGCTGGGGTTCTCCCCCGCACAATTGCCGATGGTTGGGGGTGGTCGGCTCGGAGGTCCGGGAAGTTCGAGAGTTCGCTCCCAGATCTTGACGCCGCGTCGTGCTAATCGTAAGTCCATCCACCGTGATTGGTCAATGGCCGGCTGACACATTGACGCCTGCGGAAAAGCCGGGCAACTCAAAGGCGCAGCTGGGGGAATTGTGGGGGAGTTGCGAGGATGAGGGATGATGGCGATGTGGGATGGAGGGGCCGAGAAATGAGGGGTCGCTGTCGGCGGCACATGCGCCGACCATCGCCGACGTCGTGGCTTTGTGGATTCGCCGGTACTTGATGACGGTTTGTTTAGAAATGGGCTGATCAGAGTGGACGTCTTGTGACAAGAGCTATCCGTTGTCGGTCGGAGCTATTATTACTTGCTTTCCCTGTCACGCTGTCGCGTGTAAGCAGTCCAGCTTTGACAACACATACATCCAGACACTTTGCATGAGGGACACCAACCAGAGAAGCTCTCAAGCTGCCAGAAGACTCACAGCCATCGCTGCAACGATTACACCGCGAGATTCACCGATAACATTCGTGGGAGAACACCAGCAGAACATGTCTGGAGCACAGGAACAGGCGCCTCATGGCGCCGAGTACCGTCAGCACCTTCCAGACATTAGCATTCCTCGCTTCACGACGATGCGCAATCAGGATGCTCACGAATATGCCAAGGTGTTCAAAGAGAGCGGCAACCCGCCGTGGCTACATGCCCTGTACCTTCATTGGCGTAGCCTTTTCAAAGAGCCATACACCGGCATCACAACAGATGGTGAGATCTGCCGTGACACCCAAAACCACTAACTTTCCCGCCAAGAAACCATAATTGACCCGGATTTAGGCACGGTCAAACGGGACTTATTCAAAATCGCCGACGAGGGCGTGCCGATTCAGCAAATCGTCGATGCTACAAACGCGGTTCTGTCACAGCTAGACGACAAGCAGAAGACAACCCTCTCATACCATGTCGATTCCCCGGAATGGCGATCATGGTCGAACCCCGAGTTTCTCCTCAGCGACAAGGGTTTACGGCTGGATGAGTTAAATCCGCAAATCCGCGACAGCATCCTGAAAGTCCTCGAGACGACGCTATCCCCTGAGGGGTACGCGAAGGCGCTCGGTGCCATGCGCGTAAACGGCTTTTTGGGCGAATTGGTACAGACACCCACCATTTGCAACGAATTCTCTTACAACTTTGTCCTCTTCGGACTGCCCTCGGCGACGAGGCCATGGGGCTTCTCATTTTACGGTCACCATCTGTGCCTGAACATTTTCCTGTATCAGGGTCAGATTGTAGCATCGCCGTGGTTCACTGGGGCAGAGCCGAACCTGATTGATGATGGCCCATACAAGGGCACTCGTATCCTTGAGACCGAAGAACGGCTAGGCTTGCAGCTTATGCAGTCGCTCCCAGCAAACTTGCAGCAAAAGGCGCAGACCTACAAACTCCTCAAAGATCCCGCAATGCCGAAAGGACGGTGGAATCACGACGACCAGCGACATCTCTGCGGCGCCTACCGAGATAACCGAATTGTGCCATATGAGGGAATTTTGGTGTCGGACATGACAGGCGAGCAGCAGCAGCTGGTTCTTGGTATCCTGGAGCAATATCTCATCTATCTTCCTCAGAAGTCCAGGGAGATCCGGGTCAACCATATCAAGTCTTTCTTCCAGGAGACGTACTTTAGTTGGATTGGCGGCTTCGGTGACCAAGATCCCTTTTACTACCGCATCCAGAGCCCGGTTATCCTCGTGGAGTTTGATCACCACTCAGGAGTCTTCTTGACAAACAAGGAGCCCGCAAAGTTTCACATTCACACTCTTCTGAGGACGCCCAACGCTGGCGACTACGGTATGGCCCTTCGACCACTGATTCCTGGTATTGAGCAAGATTTTGTGTGGGAAGGTTAGGTATACCGCGGTCTCTAGGAATCGGGTAGAGGCCACCAAGTCGAGTGTATGTACTTTTAATGAGAAGTATCGGCTAGAGCGCACTCCATTTGCCCCATAGTCTGCCACCTCTGTTTCCCTTAGCTTCAACACCCAACCTCTCTGGCGTTCCAACGTCAATCCCGAACCTCTCATCCACAACTGGAGCATCCAACAAGCTATCAATGCTGCGAGAATCTGCCTCGGTCGCACTGCGACTCCACCACCCCAAGGCGAATGTGTATCCCTGGAATATTCTGTCGAGTTGCTGCTTATTCATCCATTCAGCGTCTTCGGAAATGTGATTCGCACACAATTCGCTCCCTGCGAATAAGGCCATGCTGCTTGCTATTGAAAGTGGGCTTCGAGGAAGAGTGCCTTTGAGATCGACCATGATGTAGGCCGTCAGTCCAAGGACCATCATTGCACCAAGCAAGATCTGAAGAATGAGTTTCGGCGTATAGTTCATTATCAGGCGAGATTCTTCTCGTGAGATCGTACCGTTTACACTTTGTTTTTCGTTTTGCTCCTTCGTCTGAGTTGAAGCGACGATAGGCGTTCGAAAGATGCTCGATTCCATTACCTGCACCATGAACTTGGTGTAGAGGCCGTTTACGACATCGATCAGCTGATCAGGATTCTTGGTCAAATCGTCCCTGCTGACCCCCGTGGTTCCAGAAAGTATGTATCTGAAAAATGGATCGGCCGGGTCATCTGAGATCGAGTTCGTAACATTTTTATCGAAGTGAGGTTGAATACGATAGGGGAAAAGATCTAGCTCGGAATCATCGCGGGTGAGGTTCTTTGCAGTTGACTCATTAGGAGTCGGTGTGGATGTGAGGCTACTTCTTTGAAAGATGATTTCGCCTTTTGGCCCTATGAGGGACGTGAATTTCATCCCAACCTGAACCTGCTGAACAACCTGCGCACATACGAAAGGGCGTTCTGCGAAGAATATCCCGATCGATGGGCAGCCCATCGGATTATATGGACGTGCCGAGTCTGGATTCGTTTTGCAAGGGGAGCATTGTTTACTAACAAGAACTCCAATATCGAGATCAAAGAATAAGCCCACCAGCCCGTCTGTTTTATCTCCTGTGGCTTTGAATGACACATTCCTGACTTGACTGTCATCTCCTACCCGACAGGTCTCTGGAAGCAAGTCAATAGCGGTTATCGTTGTCGACACTGCGCCTCCTGTGGTGGATTCTCCTCTATCTCTAACTGTAGCTGGGTGACAGAAGAGTCTTGGTCGCAGTGAAGGCACCTCATTACTGAAGTTGAAATTTTGATTCGAGCCACCTAATTTCAAAATATGATGCTCGTCATCAGGTAAGCCTAGAGAGTCGAACGATGGAAACACTAGATCATTCCATGTCGCTGAGTCCGGGCTTTCTGTCTTGTTCAGCCGCACATCATTCAGAAGCGTCGCTGCACCGCCATCGTTGACAGCACTATCACTCCAGTCCAGGTTCCAAGTATTTTTGAGCTGAGTATTGAAGTTGATATTCGTGGTGAGCAGCTTTTCAGCCCACAAATTGGAGACGACAATCGATAGAACGCTGCCTAACAACGCCGCGAAGATGGAAGAGGATAGCCCAACATGACCTCGTCTGAGAGCCTTGCATAGTGCAACAGGGGTTACTTCCCCCATCGGATTGTTCGTAATTCCTTGGTATGATGGTATAGCCCGAGTCCTCATGATACTGAAGATTGAAAATGTGGTGATAGTGAAGTCAAGGCTGTTGAAAATACTGGCGATGGCCAACACGATGAGGGCTGAGCTATATTGTGTTCCGTAAAGCGCCCAGAACATGTCCTGAACTGTAAATCCATTGCTCTTGATGGATTGACGATACGCGACTTCGAGCGCGATGATAGTGACAAGTGGCAGCGTGAAGGTAGCTATTACAAAATACAACCGTGCTGTCATGGGAATCCAGCTGCGCTGTTTCTGTTTCGGCTTTCGTATGAAACTCTCATCAGCTAGAAGTATCTCGCGGGCTTGGATTCGGAATTTTGAGCCATCAAAGTCTGTAGAGAATCTGTGTCCGGATAGCTCGTATGATATCTGGCTAGTTCTACATTCTCCAAGAGGGGCCAAGATGGTATCGATAGACGGACTTCGAGCGAGAATTGCCGCATTCGAAACAAGCAAACTAGGATCCTGAGAGACGGAAGGGGTAAATTGAAAGATAATATCCAGTGCGAGTAGGCCTAGCATCATCAGGCTGACCACTATGATCCACAGAGAGAGCGGTCGGAATCGAAGTCTCTCTTGGGTGTATGTGCCTTCAGCAGAAGCTATTCCATGGGATTTGATCATGAAGGATTCTTTGAGAAAGTTTACAGTAAGCTGAGTGATGACAGAGGTTGCGGATGCAATCATGGTGTCGATTTCGAAGAACTTGTAATATCCAGCTGGAAGGTCTTGTGATGTATGGCTCATAAGTTCAAACATGGCGGCAGAACCTCCTGTATCATTACCCGAAGTGTACTTTCGAGCGGAGTTGCCAATGTCTCTGCGTGGTCCATCCATAGTTGAGTCGGCGGCGACGAGAACAGAGTACAGCAACTCAGACAGCTGTTGGTCGGTCAATTCGTCGAGTTGTTTATCGGCGTCGAGTGGCTCTTTAGGGTGAATCAGGGTCTCGTTCTTATCGGTGCCCATAGTAAGAATGCTCTTTCCCATGGTATATGCGACTTTGCAGGATACTGCTGTGATATTGGCCATCGATGTTGTGTAGTCGAAACTGAAATATTCGGTTCCAGGCTTGGTCCTTTGTGTGATGTTACTCGCTATGAGGAGTAGGCGAAGATCGCCTTGAGGCCCACCGGATCTTCCCTTGTCGGAGCAGTACGCCCTATAAATATTGTACGTTGTTAAAGTCCCAAGGCAACTCTCGCTGCCATCGGCACAAGTGCTAAGAAGGATCTTTGTGTTTCCACAAGAAGGCATCTGTACTTCCAATGCCCCGCTGAATTCGGTGATGTTACCATCTATCTTATCGAAAACGGTGATGTCCGGTTCTTCACAGATCACGTGTGGAACGATAGAGTCAACATTGGCGGAGACATGCTTGATATCGCTGATTCCTGGTGTTTCAGTGACGGACGCGTCTTGGAAGACAATTCCCTCTTGCGTTCCAACAGCTTCTGAAATTTGCCCTTGGAGCACCTGCAAATACTTTACTGCCGAGACTGCAGAAATGTTACTAAACGAATAGCTCGAGTATGTGACATTTCCAGAGAGAATGGTTCTGTCTGTTCTATTATTCAAAGACCAATTTGTGGTTTGCCAGAAAGCCGACCCGTCAAAAGCTGAGTTCACTTGTATCGGAAGCGACCCCGACATATTGACGGCTACGGGTACCATTAGCGTCGTGGATAATAGAGTAGCCAATTTGAGGACAGCAAAACCTATCATCGTGGCTGCTGCTATCCAGTGTCCGTTTCGGAATGACCTGACCAGCCCCGTCGATAGGATCGGAGAGACGTAATCTAGCAGGAGACTCTTGGGTGCCGGGCTTGGGCCTCTGGCCATTTGCTGCCATGGCTGATGCATCTTGCTATGGTAGTCGACTTGCCTCCAGAGGCCCGTGATGGCCACGAAAATAGCGGTAGGGCCGTAGGTCCAGGAAAACCTGCTTGATGTTGCCGTGATGATGAAACCCGAGTTTGCGATGTCGTATCGGACTAGAACCACTAGTGCAATCCAGAGGGCAGTGAACAGAAAGGCAAATCCGAGTAAAGAGGTCGTCCGAAGCCAAGGAGGCGTCCATAGCGCTCTACGTATTGAAGGCTCTGGTACGCCTCCTTTCAGCGCCTCTACGCTGTCCGAACGTCCATCGAAGGTTGTAGAAGTCGGCTTTATGTCGGCATGGGTCTTATGGTCTCGCAGAATATCGATGAGCGGATAGGCAACATCTGATCCATCATTGTCTGAGCCCCAGACTTCGTTACGTTGGTGTCTTGAATAAGTTGCCAGAGTTGATGTCGAACGATCGTGGAGTTGAGATCGCGGATTCTCTCGATTGCCGAACCCTGGGTCGTAACTGGTTTCGCTAGAGAGACCATAGGCGGAAGCGATAGACCACACGTCGACGGTGCTTGGAGACGAACCCTGAGCTGAAATAGTTTCAGGATGATCCCTGTCGTTTGGAGCGACAGATCGTCGTGTTATGTCCATCGTCGAAGTAAGGGGTGGGCATGAGGCGGGCTGCCTTGATCGCTTATCGGTAGGAGGCTGTCGAAAGGTATGTTGTGCCTCTATGACGGTAAGGGATAGAGAAGGAATGAAAGAGCAACTAGATGTCGAAGGACCCGTGATATTTATCGCGCGGAACCTGCGATCTTTTCTTTAGACATGCTCATGTTGCGTGCAAGAGGCTGTAGCTCAAACAGCCGATGATGAAGTGCTGATCGGGGGAGGATCTTCCCGCTCCTTCAGGGGGCTCCACTGTGTAATCCTGAGGACCAACAGGGTTTCTCGTCCTCGAATGCACCTGAACCTCAAATGGAGGACGACGGAGAGCCTGCTGCATCCCGCCACACGATATGCAGTTCTTCGGACCGACAAAGAGAAGAACATAACGTAAAGTGACTACAAGACACTCGAGGAAATGTCTGTGGTTGCGTTATCGCGGCCATCACAAGACAATCTTCGGCACCTTCAATCTTGGCTAAGAAAATGCAGCTAAGCCACAGCAGGGGCCAAATGACATTTTGGGGTATCAGACCTTACTACGCAATGTTCAAGGGACGAGCGAGCAAATATACGATCCTCAACGCGGGTCTCAAGCTGGCTAAGATCTGTCAGAGCCGGCATGATTAAACTCCAAGGTAATCCTCTCATTGCGGTGGAGATGTGTGCTAGACTGAACCTCGGGCCTAGCGCCGTGGTGCATTAGGTATTTGCGGACTGGGATATGCCCTGAACCAAGATGCCCATCGAAATTGCCAGCCATGTGCGCTGCCCTGACACTTGAGTTGGAATTTGCAGGCTGCCGAAACCCATTAACTGACTTATGCTCTGGAGAGCTTTCTCAAGGTTGGACGCCCCAGCATGAGACGCGACTGCAGACTAAGATCAGCTTTCCCAGTTGAGTCTCATGCATAGATTTCAGACTGACTGCTTCCTGGGCTCATTCACTCATCTACTTCTCAGCGAGTTCTGATGGGTGAGTTGGTGTGATGGAAGAAGATCAATTTGGGCAAAGTTGAGTTCTTCAGCGAAACCGAAGCCTACGCGGATTCCGCGCGCCTCCTTCTGCCGTTTTCCCGTAGCCCCCGCAGGCTAACACCTCACCTTCTTATTTGAGTTGCGCCGCGTCAACGTCAACATTCAAGGGCGAACTCAATTACGAGGAAACACGCAACCGTTGACTCTTCGGTCAAAAGGCTTGGCGCATATAACGCTGTCACAAGCTTCAAAGCTTACATCAACGTCAAGATCCAGTTCATTAATCCATTCACTCACTTATCAGAGCCGCGATGCAACTCCCGCCGCACCCCCTGTACTCCTTAGAGCTCACGCCGCGCTTCGACGCCGACGGTGCGAGCAGCTTATCGGTGCTCCTCCGGCTGCAGTTGCCAGTCACAAAGGCGCACGAGCCCGTGTTTGTCTTCAACACCTTCTACGGCAATGTTCCCGGGCATCCGTATCAAGAAAAAGACATCAACGTGACAGACGATGCCGGCCCCCTAGAGCTCCAATTCCACGACCTCCCTTCAGAGGGCCGGGACAAGGAACAGCACTGGTCCTTCAGTAGAGAACCACGGGGCGGTATCCTTCTCCGCTTCGATGTCTTCCCTCGGAAAGTAGACATCAAAACCCCGCTCGGCGCCCGCATCGACCTCCGCCGCGACCAGGGCGGCCTGCACGGCGCCGGTATGTGGTTTCTGCCACAGCTCATCAATGATCAGCTCTTCACCGTCCTAGTCAAGTGGAATATCCCGGCCGACGCGCCGGCATCTACGCGATGCGTGTGGAGCTACGGGGAGGGTACCAAGCCCATGGTCCGCGTCGATCGCTCCGAAGTCGTTCGGAACACCATGTTCATGGTCGGGCCCGTTCAGAGCTCTTCCGGAGCGTCGTCGTCTGCGTGTTACTGGTTCGGTGACCTTCCGCCAAACCTCGACCGGGTGAAGGGATACAACACCGCCCTGTTCCCGAAGATGGCGGAGTTCTTTGGGTCGTCTGCTGGAACGTATCGCATGTTCATGCGCAAATCCATCGTCGGCTTTGGTGGTACCGGCTTCGATGCAAGTTACATGCTGGAATACGATGACAGGAGTAGCGACGTCGAAGATGACCGCCTCATCCAATTGTTTACGCATGAAATGGTGCACAGCTTTGCCACGATTGATTCAGGCGAGGCAAATGAGAACGACTGGTTTGAAGAAGGTACTGATCTCTAATATGAAGCCCATCGTCTGGCACCTAGAAACTGACACTACGCAGGACTTGCAGAGTTGTATTCGTCATATCTGCCCTATCGCCTCGGCTTCCGTGGGAAAGACTTCTTGACCAGCACCATCAATGATCATCTCCAAGGCTACTTCACCAGCCCTCGCATTAACATGGATATACGCGATGCGGCCGCGGCCATGTTCAACGACTGGTACGCAGAGTGGATTTCCTACAAGCGCGGCTTCGCGTACCTCCTTTTCATGGATCTCTATCTGCGCCGACACACCCGCTCGTACGACTTTACCACGGCAGGGCCCCTCGACTCCATCATTCTCGACTTGACAACAAGGCACAAGCAAGGAGAGGCTGTGGGCGCCCGTGACTGGCTTGCCGCCCTAAAGACGTCTCTTGTGGACGACAGGTTTCCAATAGAGGAGCATTACCAAGACATGCTCCGGGGAAGGGCGGTCATGAACTTTGATGGCCTTTTCTTGGGCGAGCCATCCAAGACACTGAAGGCAGCTCAGCTTCCTATCATGGAATTCGGGTTTGATAAAAGAAGCACAAACTCTCGCGTTGTCACGGGGCTTATTCCGGGCTCAACTGCGGATAAGGCAGGCTTGTGGGAAGGAGCTCAGATTGTGAGCGTGTCTCGAGCCAGTGATTGCATTGATGATATCCAGAAGACCTACAAAGTGGTTGTTCAAGACGGCAGGGGCACTCGTTTGATAGAGTATGTGCCCCGGGCGAAGAAGACTGCCCTCGCCTGGCAATTGGAGGAAAGCGGTTGAAGTGTTTGGAGGAACTGGGTTGCTTCTGCTATCTAATTGTAGACTACATGTAATGAGAACGAGATGAAACAGGAAGAAAAGTAGGGTATGCCGTTCTGGTGTTACATGCACTGGTGCTGTGATTTGAAAGGAGAGAAAGGAGAATAAGAAAATGGGTAGAGGGGGGAGGCGGGGAGGCGGGGAGGCGGGATGTGCTGTGTCCTTGATGGTAAACACTGCGATGTACAAACGACCTTCAGTTGAGGGACCCCTCCCCAGCTTTGACTGCAATGACAATCAAGCCTCCAATCACCGAAGCCAGCCCTCCAATGACTTTCTTGGCTTTGAGGGACATCTTGTATTCAATGAGCAGCGCGTGGCGGGGTAGAACGATGCGATCCTCGCGCTGGTCGATGTCCACAAAGACATCATCATAGAGATCAAATAGGTGTGTGTAAAACCCCTGATCCATCGACTGGGGCTTGTTTACCGCCTCAGTAAAGGCTTCGTCGAGAGCCGAGTGTCGGATCAAGGCCTTGAGGGGGGGCAGTGCTGTGAGGTCGGGAACTTCGATCTGCTGGTTATTAGTATTTGTGAAGGTAATAGACTCTTATGGGGACAAGCAAGAGCTTACCGAGCGAAGTGTGGCGATCGATACAGTCGGCTTAAGACACAATACGTTGGTCTTGAGGAAGTGTTTGGCTTTGCTGGTGTTCGCCTCAAGTGTGCCTTCGATAGCTTCCACGAGCCCTTGCGGATCTTCGTAGCTGGTCGCTGCCAAGATGGTGCCACCAGGGCGTGTAGAAACGGAGGATTTGGTGAGGAGGAGGCAGGATTTTGTTGCCATGATTTGAGATATTTGGTGGTTCTTGACGAGCAAAGTAGGCTGTATTTATGGTGTGGTCTGGTGTGTAGTCTATTTGTTCCCTTAAAGCCCTCCAGGAGTGGCATCAGAGACTTTATAACAATGCGTCAACCGGCAGTTGGAGCAGACTTACCGAGGATATCATTACGACATCTACGTAGATGTGTGGAAAAGTCCACAGTAGCGGGTTCGTGAGCGTATCTACAGAATCGAGGACAACGAGTCTTGACAACACGAATAAGTCCGTGATTCTGGGCAGGAAACCACCACATGACACCGATACCGAGGATGACATGATTTGTAACTGTGTGATACGTCACGATGGGATCAAATTGTGTAGAAAAATTGCGAGAGCGCGAAGGCGCGCATCAAGTCCAGCACATTTTGTGTCTCGAGCTACGCCAACAAGTGTTCCTAGGACCGTATGTCCACCGCGAGCGCCAACAACTTACGCTAGAGGACCAAAGGCGGTGTTGCACGTGAGCAAGAGCAATCACACTAATGGACGTTGCTGAAGATGGTGTTGCGAAGCCGGGAAATACGGTGCTGAACCTCTTGTTACTATTGAATGGCAAACAACAGCCAAGATCCGGAATCGGTGAGTCCACGGTGTGCTGGTGACAATTCGTGCGCCGCCGCGCGTTGTTGAATTCGCGACTCTCTAGTCGGCTTTGTAACGGCTTGCATCGGAGTAGTGTACGCTAGAGAGCTGGACACCGCCGGGATTGTGGTGCTGTACCGTACCCTATGTCGGAGCCCCTGAACACGATCAAGCTATACGTACGTACGTACTCGTTTTCCTCGTGCCCGAAGCTTGATCAGAGTAGAGAGTAACTCCGAAGTCGAGGTGTTTTGCAAAGGCTTCGAGTTGTTGTGGTTGTAAAGAGGCGGTGCGAAAACCGCATCATGGAGCTTTGCCAATGACGTCGGGCAACATCGTCTGCTCACTAATTAGCCCCCAACTTGGATTTCTCCACGAAGAATGGGATAAGGTCGCCTTAACTAGCCCCAACCAACAATTTGTCCACGACCAATGGTGACAGCGGCTCAAGGGTGCCATACCTACCTTATGCAAGGTACAGAACACCCTCCGGTACAGGCGCTGCTCCGGTACGGGGCAGCTAGCTCTGGAGTAGAGCAGCTTACGCAGGGGAAATCTCGTGGAGATATCCGTGCCTTGACTGGATTCTTACCGATGAAATCTTCGTGGAGAAAAAAGTACTGCCAAGGAACGTCAAGCCACCACCCAACGGGCTAATAACGTCCCCCGCACCGCCTCCAAAGCACCGTTGTGCTGGAGGGACGCTGGCAACTCAGCCTACGATCTCTCTCTCTTCCCGCGCCCCCATTCAGAGTCGAAACCGAATTCATCCCTCCATTATATACCCAAAAATCGAAACCTCCTGGCGAACCACATCAAGAACCTCGCAAAGTTGACTCTGAGCTGCCAATATGTCTGCCGAAGACAATGGGCAAGGCAGCAGAGACCCGGTGAGTTTGTCGGATGCCTTTCAGATGCCTTCCTGTTTCCTCTGTGCCTCTGCGCCGCTTGCAACACAAGCTTTCCCTGCCCGTCATCCCATGTTTCTCCGTACCGTCGCTGAAGCTTGCGGCACTCCCGCTCATCTCATCTCGGCCCCATCCCATGGCATCGGATGCTCTCAATGCAAGGTTGCTCCATCCTTTCAGGGAAGAGCATCCGAGGGATGGCCGCCGCTCCATAAAGCACCGATGCTAATGCTAGTTCGCAGTTGATTCCCCGCGGAGACGACTTCATCCCTTTCGAAAGGTCAGACGTTCGACGACTCCGAGTTCAGGAGGCGCTGAATCAAACGAATGTCCTCGCCCCGAGCCAGTCTCCGGCTCAGACCCCGCCTTCTGGACACAGGGGAATCGAGGGGTCTCCCACCACCGGCGGTATCGCCGGCCATGCCGCCGGCCCCAGCACGTCCACGGCGCCGTCCACGGCGCAGACGCAGCAGGATTCGGTTAGCGCCGGCCAACAGACTCTCACAACTCCGACCACTGCTGCCTCCAATAATACCAATGCAACTGAAGACAACGAGCAGGCGGACTGCTTGATCTGCGTGGTGTTTTTGATGTACGGTACCACGGCCCCCAAAAATTGTCGACGTATATTCACGCGCGCTTGCGATCTAAAGTATGGGATTGTTCTACTTTGCCTCAAGTTATTGAAATAGGTAGCTACTTATGTACGAGTAGCTGACAGTGGTTAACAGACAGCACAACTGGCAATGTCACGTCCACATCAACGATCAACACCTTATTGCCCGCGAGGAGGCCGCTGAACAACGCCGCACAGGAGCCATCGGCAGCCGACATAATGCCAGGTCCAGAGGATTAAAACCTTACCAGTCCAAAGCGACAACCCCACTTTTGGAAGAGCATCCACCCTATCGACTTACTATTGAGGGCTGGAATCATTTTGTCACCATCATCAGCATGCTCGATCAAAGTCGACCTCGACCAGAGGATCAGCACAGGAATCACCGCATCACATGCATTTCCAGCCTATGGCGTTCGCAGTATGGAAACGATCGTCCCGGTTTCGGGATGCAGAGTAAGTTTGCAATTCCTTGCTCAAACCTGTGGTCTTCCATCCGAGTAGGTAACTATGTAAATCTTCGTGACTGACGAACATCTTTTGAATTACCTAGCGGACATTAGTGACGCAAACAAGGCTATTCTCAACAGGAGCATACGAAACGCCATAACATTCTTACTGGATCCCGAAGGAGAAAACTCCTCGACGTCATTCATCGACGACGAAATCTACTTGGCAGATCAGAGGAACAATCCAGCTCCGCAAACTCAACAAGTCGACCACTCTGAAGGAGCAGGGGCGATCGAGGTGCATCCGACGATTATGGAGTTCATTCACGGATTGTCGGTGGAGGGATGTGATTACTGCCTTGCTGAATTAGCTTCACTCAGCCCGCAGGGGACTGTCGAGGCAGGCACAGTCGGTTGAGGAGCTCGCGCGGCATGGAGGACAGGAAGACTGCATGTAGACTTGGAAAGACTGCAAAGGTGAAGGATTATCGGTTTATCTGTGTGCTTAGATTGGGATAGCACTGGCAGAAGCACACGTTTACTTATGAGCGGGAAATCATTTTCAAAGAGAGTAAGGTCATACCGGAGGCGGGAGCTTGGGATGGCGTTTGGACGGGAGCGACCTGATTGCATGTAACCGGTCTTATAGGCAGCGTTGATAAAGTTACACTCATCGATCGAATCGCATAATTTGGACTGTATGCTGTTGCATTGGGAGTACAACTGGATCCAGCAAGAGAAGTTTCAAACGCAAACAAGGATAGTAGTAAGGGGTGTATTCTCACAGCGCATGAATGAGTAGAGGGATGCTGCAGTTGAGCTTTTATAACTTAGTCCTCCAGTCTAATTGAGCCGACTCTCCCCTTTGGTGATTAGCATTTGGTCAGTGACCTCTTCGATTCCCTCTAGAGTCGCTCTCGACATTCTAGTGCTCAACTCCTCAACTTTACAAGACACGACTTCGGCTTGGTGAATATTCCTTCAAGGAGTGCATCATCCTCCAACTCAGCAGGCAACCCCATAAACTCCAGGTTCCAAATCAACAGCGTAATGATCAGTTTCAACTCCATGTACGCCAGTCTTTTACCCCAGCATCCCCGAGGGCCGTAACTAAAACTCATAAACGGGCCAGCTTTGTTGTTGAACACTATTTCGCCCTTCTCGTCGGGCTGCAACCAGCGTTCTGGGTGAAGTTCTTCGGGAGGATATTCGGTCAGCGCCCAATCTCCGACGCCCTCGTTGGCGACCTTTTGTGATGTTTCACTCCGCTTCGCCTCGTCGATTTTGACACCTGCTTCTGAGACCGTTGGCCCCGCCAAGAGAAGGACGAGAGGCGTTCCCTTGGGTATGCGGTACCCAAATATGTCCATGTCTACGAGCGTCTCCTTCATGATGGCTCCAGCGGGACTGCTCAGACGCAGAGTCTCTTCGATGAATGCGTCGAGGTAGTGTACGTGAGTCTTGGTGATCTCGTCAATTGTAGGCTGTCGCTTCTCTGAAGCTGCATCTGGGTATGCCAGCCGCAGCGCTTCTCGCAACTTGGACTGAATGTCCTGATGGATACCCAGGTATTTGACCGTGAAGCAGAGCGTGCTGTGTGTAGAATCCTGGCCGCCAACGAGGTAGCCCCAAATCATGTCGTGTATCCTTGCCGAGTCAAAGACTGGCTCTCGGTCTGCGGCTTTGGCTGCTGAAATTTCACGCGAGACGATGTAGTCCACTGCCGAGGCGAACTCCTCCTTTAAGCTATCACTGCAGGACAATTTCTCGACGGCGCGGTCAATATGAGACTGGAGAATGCTTTTCTTCAAGCCAAATGCCCGGCGGATAGTCGGTCGATTGTTGTCGTAGAGAAAGAAGAGCTTGGGGATGAGTGCGCGGAAGGCACCGTTGATTCTTTCGTTCAGAGTATTTAGGGCGAATAGAAGCGGTGGTGGAAAGGGTTTCGAGAACTCTGCAAGTTGTGAGACGTCAGACTTGGGCGATTCGGATCCATTTGGTGAGGGAAGCAGCAAGAGTCTCTCATGTGTGTAGCTATCTTCCACAGAGGTGCCAAAAGCAGCAGCGTTCATGATGTCGTAGGTAAAAGCCTCGAGATCGCCGTCGGCTTCAAAAGGCCGTCCATGAGCGATGGCGGCTTTGGTTTTCCAGAGCTCTATGAATTTGTGAACCATTTTATGTGATGCTGGTGCAGATACCTGCATTCTGTCAGCATTACACACCACAAGTTCAAGGTTCTTAGTTACGAGCGCTATCGTACCCCATGTAAGAAGCTTGGTGTCATGAGATCTTTAGTCAGGAACTTGGTGTCCTTGAAAGAAGGATGCGAATCTTCCATGGCGATGAAGTGCCCAGGAATCACACTATTCCAGGTGATGTCGTTGCTAACTCCACGGCCGAGATCTTTGCCCCGCTTCGACATCAAGTCGCGGGCCTCACGGTAATCTGCAATGACGATGTGCGTCCTATCGAGAGGTCCAGGGAAGAATTGAGCAACGGGGGTGTTGTGCTTAGAGAGCAGCTGCGTGAAGAACTTGAGCCAGTATTCCCCCGCATTGTCGAGTTCGATGAAGTACGGTGCATCTCCCAGGATTCGCTTAGCAGAATCGAGGTTGAACGGCGGTCCACCAGCGATTGGCCTAGGTAAGAGTCGAAGATAGAAGAGACGAATGGAGATGGCGATAGTAGCGACAATGGCCGCATATACGACGAGTCCCGCCATGGCCTTGATTATCAAGATGCTTTTGGGATAGGCAGTCTGGTCCAAGTTGTGCGGATGAGATTCTCAGAATGAGATAACGACTCAGCGGCACAACGGACTGCTTCAACAACGTCGAATCGCGACAGTTTTGTATCTCCAAAGTTGACGTGCATGAGGCCGCGTGGAGTCTGCCATCCATTGGAGGTAAACTTCGGATGAAAGTTGATGCTCTTGGCGCCGCCTTCCCTGCTGAAGAACAGGGACGGGAGTGAGCACTAGCACTGTAGAACAACGGCACAGCGGTCGCCGCGGCACCCGATTCGGTCTCGGCACTGGCGGGGTATCCACTCGTGGCCTCACCGGCCTCCGGTGCTGGCGACGACGGACGGGAGGGGCACGAGGGGGACGTTTCGAGTGTCATGCGAGATTCCCGTTTGGGCGTTTTCTCCTTGTCATAGTATTTCTCTTTCTGGCGATTGGACTATCTGTACGGGGTACGAAGATCCTGGATCGTCGCGTGCGTCTCTGATGTTGTGATGCGCTGAGGATGTGTACTGAAAACCGATCCAATCACCGTAGACTGGAACTCTGAGTTAGTAGCAAACGACTGAATTCCATCTAGGGTATTCAAAGACTCATAAACTGCATTTCTAAGAGTCAACATGGATTGACCTATGGTTGATCAGTACAATTACGGTCAGCTTGCGCAGCCGTTTCCACCCACAGGTCTATCAATTCGTCGCCGAAAGAAAGGATACCTACTTTACATTGAACAAGCCCGACTCGTTTCTACCATCGCCCCAAACCATGTTCATCCACAGACTTACAACCTTTCTCTTTGACAGTCTTGAAACTTAAACATGACGCCTAAGCTGGTGGGATATGTAATCATCCCGAGCGGCCATGGTGCAGGTTGAGCACACTCTCGGCCGGTACGGGACTGTGGACGACAGCCGCCCGGCGGGCCGTCGGTAACATGCATCCACCCGATGTTCACCATCACTTCGGAGGCCAAACCCTGAAGACTCCCATGTCCTCCAATCTGGGAACGTTACCAAAAATTTGGAAAAAAATTCTTGGATTCCATGAATCATGGTTACAGTTACACACGGTTAGACCGAGACTTTTTGAGTTGGTGTTACAGTCTCACAGACTCCGAACATCCGGAAGCGGAATCGCAAGTATGACGATACGCACGCAAAGATAAGCCTTCAATTGCAGAGGTACCTCTCTAGATATTGCTATAGAAGAAAAGCCATAGCTCAAGAATCATCGAAGGAAAAGTCCACGCCTTTGGCATTTGGGGTGAGACATGGGCGACGATGCAAACCTTGATCTGAGTCTAAAGTCAAGTCGAAGCCAGTCAGCTTAGTGAAGATACACGCGGGAAAGGCGACACCGATAGACACCAATACGTAAACGTCTTCCGCGATTCATTAACCTTGGCGCCTCCGATCTTGAAAGCTTAAAGCTTTCTACCATGATTCTTCCTTCTCCATCCACAGCGGCATCTCCCGCAGCGAAAAGATCATAAATGATCCTGTCCTCGTGTCCATGACATGCCGAAGTCGACTGCCTCCAGCGCCCGCTCCGCCTTTGTTTGTGCCCCGGCCCGTGGCGTGGCGATCTCGGATCTAAACGTTCGCCACATGGCTGTGCACGAGTAGGCCACCGCAAAGGAGAAGACAGAGGCGCTGGAGGTGTGGTTCCACGGAGTTTGGCTTGATGATTGGAATTCCAGAGCTGTAAGGTTATGGAGATAGAGAGCACACGTGGATGGATGTCGATTGTGTCTCAGATTTTACAACACGCTGCATGCATCTTGCGATGAGAGAATGAGGTGCATAGCAGTGACTTTGGCATTGATGTTGGCTTTTATGGTAATAGTAAATTACAAATTGGTATGGGAAACTCATGCAGACTGGGGATATCATCGCAGGAAAAAGGAAAGTGAAAACAACCAATGCCGTGTCCTGCTTCGTGTCTTCCAAGCTCATACCACGACCTTCATGGTGCGGAAGTACTTCTTAACCCGTGACGACAGCGTTGACGATGATTGAAATGTCTCAACCGTCTCCCCAGAGTCCTCAGAGTCTAGTGAGTACCTCCTCTCCTTGACGAACTTGGGCCACGTGTTGGTGAGGACGAGGTACTTGATGCTCGACTCCGCGTCGTCGAAGACAGCAGCGTTGAAAGCCTCGGGGATCTCACCCCAGTACTGCACCCGGTCCGCAATGGGGTCTCTGCTGCCATCTCGTGATACGCAGCTCATCTCAGAGCCACCCGCTGTTGACTCAGGTCCACCCCAGCTGTTATCCTCGAATGGTACCACAGGATCGCTGAAGCGTTCCGTTCGGTCGCCGTATAGTATTCTAGCTGCGCCTTCGAAGACGCCTTCTAACCGCTTCAAGTCCTGTGATGCGATGTTGATCTGGAACTCGGCGTGGTAAGGGCTGATGAACTCGGTGTAGATGCGCAGGGCCCGGTTGAAACGTTCCCGTGAGATCTCGGCCGATCGATGTGATGATCCGGGGCTCTGAGGGATTGATGACTTCCATTCGGCAACGGCTGACAGGAATGCAATGTTCTCGCCGGAGAAGTCTCTGAGGGCAGAGAACTTGCGGAGGGGCTCGGGGTTCTTGTCCAAGACGTACTCGAGGGCGCCCATCGTGTAGACACTTTCTGCTTGGCTGGTGTCCTTTTCGAGCTGCGCAAGTGATTTCCAACTGACGGAAGCTTGGCTTCCGACTTTGGTCGATCCGGTGATGACAGAGTCTCTCCCGGCGCGTGACTTATTCTTGGCTTCCCAAACAGCGATGGACTCGAGCGTTTCCTGTCTGAGAGTCTTATGCTTAACGACTTGCCAGCAGGGAATGAAGATTGCAAAGATTTCAATGAACGTGATGGAGAGGCAGATCCTGGGAGTAAGTCAACATCGAGCTCGGGAGGAAGAACGTGTCCATGCGTTGCTTCATATAACTTACCACTGCGGGGGGATGAAGTAGGCATTGACGGGCGCCATCGCTGGGACGTACAAGGCGACAAGCCACATAGGGGTAGCGTGAAGGCTGAACTCGTTAGTGTTGGCTCGGGGGGTTTGTCACGGAGAAGCGACAAAGCGCTAACCTGGATTTCAACTCACCTCGCGATAGAACATGCAATGGTCTGCAGACGCCACCCTTGAGTATCCTGGATTCCACGTGATTTCCAGAGAATCACAGGTGCGACCAGCCAAGCCCAGAGGAATTGCCAAAATACAGAAGGCCACCATTCCCAGCCCCTACCCATCTCGACTTTTTGCTGCGCTGGAGTTCCCGTCACTTCAGTGCCGGGAATACCAAACGACGGGTGATATTTGCGCGAGACCAGATACATGACCACTGTTAGAAGAAGCTGATGATGAAGCACGTCAGCCATCAAGTGTCAACTGTCAAACATGCCCCGCCATCTGACCCTGCATCAACTCACTTGCACAAGCATGCCCGTGCACACGACGGCTAGCATCTTGGTGGTGTAATCGAGCTTCCGGAACTTCCCCGTCAGGGTCTTGTCCGGCCCGTTGCCGGTGTCCAACTGTGAGTTGGACTGTGTGAGCGGCTTATCTGCATATTTCCGCTGCGCCTTGGCGATGTGGAGGAACCGGCTGTTGGAAGCGTGGAAAAGAGCAATGCCGAAGGGGAGGTAGAGGCCCATCACCCAAAACTCGGCGCCATCGGGGACGAACTGGCCGATGGCAAGCCCGATCTGCACCGAAAGCCAGTAGAGGTGGAGCATAGTGACAGCGCCAAACGACAAAGCCAGACCGCGGATCCTCAGAAAAGGCATTTTGCGGTTGACAAAGAGAAATGCCATACCACAGAGCAAAAGCACTGTCCAAAACCCACCCCAGGCAAGCCAGAAGACCGCAACTGGCGCAGTATTGAACGAAGGCGCCGCTGCTGCGGCAGTTGGTGTAGGCGTGGCCTCTGCACTTGACTCCATAATGACTGATCTCTGTCTCGTTGACTCAAGATCTGATAGTGATGTGCGAAGCTGCCGTCTGACGAGCAGAAAAGGAGCGTAGGGAATAGAGCTATCTAGATATTCTCCATGTTTAAAATCCGAGGATGGTCTTGGTTATATGCTGGAATGCAGATGGGGCTGGAAAACAAGGTTCCTCGAGGAATGCGAAAGTGCTTCCCCAGTCACCCATGATTCACCCGCCAGAAATCACTCTAGAAGACTTTGGGCGAACCCATCGTGCTTTTTCGAGGTAAGCCAAACGCGGTGGTGAGGCCGGCGCACCGTCGTGCAGATCCTTGTTTACGTCAACAATAGCGCTGGCCCTCGATGTCGATCACATCTCGAAAGTCTTTTCAACGCAGGGAGGACTTGAAGACGAGTTGAACGCCGAGTCCTGTCAGTTGCTGTTCTGAAAGGAAATGGCCATCCTTCATGGCCCCGAGCTGGGGGCCGTTGAAGTGAAACTGCAACGCAAGGGAGCGCGGCTGCATCCCCTCACAGGCGCCGCTCTCAGTAGGAGTGGGAGGGTGCAAGCAATAGTCGCGGTTTTAGACGATGGCTCCCAGTGTGGATCGTCGGTTGCATATGCAAAAGCAGGTCGCTGGCGCTAGTGTCAAGGGACGTCTCTCTTCCGGACGCTAATTAGGAGCCGGACTCTCGTAGAGCTGAGCCATGATGGGTAACGTTCTGTTTGGCCGTCGTCGCGGTTTTTTCTTGGGGCCCATGTCGCCTAGCGATTCAGCCAGTAGCCAGTCCGCTGACCAGCGTAAGACCCGCAAGACGAAGCGTCATCGCAGATCTCTGAGCGGATCATTAGAGCCTTGGATAGTGTGAGGATCCATGAGTCGCCGAATCGGACCTGTCAAGAGAAAAACATTGCTTTATCTGAGATTAGGCCGGCGCACGGTTCTCTTGATCTCGAGGTTATCACTGCTGAACGAGAATGAGACAGTGACTGCAGACACGAATTGGTGTGATGAGTGTTAGGGCCCTGGCCAGCTGCGTGAAGTCTGGCCCAT